AAGGGAAAGGAAAAATGATGAGAAATGGAAAAAATGGAAATAAAGTCTTTGTAAATAGGGAAGGGTGGAGGGGGTGAAGGCAGGGCTAGGAATAGGGAAAAAATAAGAACCAAGATGCATTATGTAAAGGTACAATTCCCAATGAGAAATATAGTTGTGTTGTATACCTACAATGTACCAATAAAAGAATAAAAAACAAAAAAAGGATCAAGTAAAGGGCCACGTGCCTGCTAAGCACATGCTTTACCACTAAGCTATACCTCCAGCTTTCAAAAATATTTGTAATTTTTTTTAAATCACTGAGTTTAAAAATCAGTAAATTCACTTTCAAAACTATTTCCAGGTACACACTGAAGAACTCATTACAACATAATTTGTTGACAATGTCACCATTTTGGTTTCTGACAAAGAGATAAAATGAGGACATATTTTGTCCTTACATAAGATCATTACCCCCGGGAAAAATTAAACATCAACAAAAACCAGGAAGTGAATGCAGCTTCTCATCCCACCTGAGAAAGCGGCCCCAGCAGAATGCTTCTCTGGAGACCACTTATTTTCAGATGCATAGTGTTCGGAAACTGATACGGTAGAGATAGGCGGGCTGGCACTGTCTTTCTCAACTTCAATATGTTCTCGTGTCAGTATTTCTCCCTGTAATCCCTCTGATCTGCTGCAACTGTCACGCTGTAAATCACTGGTTCTGTTCTCAGGACTTAATCTTTGCTGTGGCAAGGAATGGAGTTCTGCAGACTTTCCACCTTCAGATAAATTACTCTCGCTGTTCTGAGGGCTGCTTCCTATCTCCAAGCCAAGAATCTGTACCTCCTCAGACAGTGCCAGGGCTGTGACTGGCGTCTTCTCGCCAGTCTGAAGAGATGTCTTGCCATCTACTTTGTCAGACTTATTTAAGCACTGCATGTCACTAGGAGTTTGTACTACACCGCTGTCTGCCACTCTGCTGCTTGGGGCTGTCTGTCGGTGTGAATGTGGGTCAGGAATTGAAAAGTTCTTTGTGGGTTGGGAAGATTCCTGCTCTGTCCTGGAATCTCCAATGCTTGAGAAGGCTGACATTTGGTGGCCCATAAAGATTGTTGCTGGTTGATACAACCCTTTTGACATGGACATCTTGGAGTTAATTCCAGCTGGCACTGCAACCTGTAAGGAAAAATATGAGTTAAACATAATGTATAGAAACAATTAGTTTGCTTTCAGAAAAGGAGAGAGATAAAGAAAGCATGGCCATGGAAGTCAGCACCTACCATATTTCATGAAATGCATGCCTTTCTACATAGCAAATGAGCATAAAATCATGTAGTCCATACTATTTAATTTTAGTAGCAGTGCTGATTCATAAAGCAATTATGGCCAGGGAATATGGAAGCTATAATTTTGAAAAAGAAATGTATACACTTAAAGCAACTGAACTGCATGCTTGAAATTGAATTACATTGGTATAGTTTTTGCTATGTATAGTTTACCATGATAAAAAAAACAAACAAACAAAACAAAACAGCTATGAGTTCTAAGAGTTCTCCACAGAGCTCAAGATTCAATGAAGAACTTGACAAAAAGAGAAAGAAAGAAAAAGAGAAAGGAAAGGAGAGGAAAGGAAACAGCAGAACATACAAAAGACTACTGGAGGTTTCAAAATTATTTCTAACATTATGTGTACTATAAGTACTTCCAATAACCATCTTTGGGATGGCATTAAAATGTACTGCCACCTCCACAAAATACTCATAACTTATAGCCAAACTATAAATAACACCAAGTTTTTTTTCCAAACATCTTCAAGTAATTTTGTTTTATTGGGTTTTTTTAGATAGTCTTACTATATAGTCCAGGCCAGCCTTGAACTCACTATGTAGCCCAGGGTGGCCTCAAATTTGTGATCTTTGTGTCTCAGCCTCCCAAGTGCTAAGATTACAGGTGTGGTCCACCTACAATTTAAATTTATTAGGCAAGAATGAACATGGTCTCTTACTGAGAAAGACACAGAGACTGAGACAGAAGCAGAGGGACTGGTTCAGTGGCTTGATCAAGTATACACAGTGGAAAGCAGAACCACTGAAATAACAAGCCTGAAGCCTGCAGAAAGTTAAGTGTTTTTCTTCCAAAGGGACAAAAGCACTTCCACACATATGAGCATTTATTTCACAGAGACGTGTGGGGTAAATGGGAGATGTATCTGCACCCCTCCTCTGCAGATGGAAAAAGTGAGACCAACATAGTAAGAAATGTCATATGCATCACAAAAACAGAATCAAGGTCTTGCTCCCCTCCTCTAAGCTGTCTCTTCTGTTTTCAAAATAAAAGAAACAACTTTGAAGTCAGCAAATGATCAGGAATATCAGAGAGAGTGGTGGAATAAAATTCTCTGATTCTAAAGAGACAGCGCTGGGAAAATGTTCAGAATGACTTCTCAGAACTCTGGAAATTAAACAGGCTTGTGGCAACCTGACGAGCATTTATTCAGGAAAACCAGCTGACTCTGGGTCAGAACAGTGGGCTTTAGGGTATAGGAGCCCACATTCTTCCCAACACCCTCCCTAGGTCTGCAGAGCCCTGAAGACCTGTGCTCACAGTAAAAACCAGGAGCCCAGAAGCCACAGGAGCGGGAGAATATAATCCCATTGAAGACCCATTTCCAGAGAACTATTTTCTTGCGACCTGACAGTTCCCTGGGAGACCTTGCACAAGCACTGTTCATTTGACCTGGCTCTGAGCTTACCCAGAACAAACAGCTGTTTTCCCTGGGGCGGTTTGTTGAAAATTTTAAAAAAGTAATTGTTTAATAGGGAGGCTGCTTAAGGTAGTAGATAACTTGGGACAAACAACAGCTAACTTAAAATTCAAAGGGGAAGTTGGGGGCATGGGTCTGATGCTCCAATACTTTTCTGGGAATGTAGGAGGCACCTATACCCTGCAATCAGGATGCTGAGCTCCAGCTCTGCAGAGCAGGAAGCAGGAAGTGAGGACTAAGGAGGTGTTGCGAACTGCATGGACAAGTGCTCACTGAGTGCCCCCACACACAGGAGCCTCCAGTAGAGACTGACAACTCTACTTCTGGGCATTAAAAGCAAGCTCTGTCCTGAGCAGTCTGGAAGGGATCAAAGCACTGTTGGAGGAGAAATGTGTACACTTCGGTCAGCTTACAAATCACATGGTTTATTTTATACCTTTTAAGATCTCAATATTTAGAGGGTTCACACAAAGACCAGTGCCTCAGCATAGCAAGTCCATCACCCTGTGTGGGCTGCGGCCCAGGTGGAGGTTCAGGGCGAGTGGAATAGCACTGTCGATGACCAAGGGTGGCCTGGTGAGCAGAACACACCAACAACTCAGCACAAGTAAGGAATAAGCGCCAGGAATAAGCGCCCATTGTCCTCATCCACCTTCCCTGTGCTGCTGCTGCTATGCAAGCTGATTCCACAAGTGGCATGCATTTAGAGTCCATTTCTGAGCTTCTTACCAGCAACACTCCTGAGCCACAGGAGTCCACACTTAAGTGTCTAGAGATGGCCTCATCTACACGGCAGGAGCTGCTGCTGGAGCCTGTGCTCCTCCTTCCCATAAAGAGTCCATATGTTTTTCTTCCAAACAGACAAAAGCACTCTGTGTCTTAGTCCAGCGCTGCCACACAAGCTGATCACACAAGTGGCCAGTGCTATTTCCAGACAGACAGAGCCCATGCCATTTGTGGCAGTCCCCAGATGGACTCTGGGACTGGAAATACTTGAGTTTTATACTCTTTTTCTTGGGTGCATCTGCAAAGGCAGGCTGTAAGCAGTGGTGCCATGTGTTGAGTGGCTCAGTGTCAGAACATCTAGAGTTAGCAGCTTCTTGGTGTTCCCAGTCATTTAACAGCAGTGCAAGTATCTTGCTTATGACATGAGTGCATAGTGATGTTTCAAGATGGAGGTGCTTATGCCAAGGCACTGGTAACATTGTGCCATGTTAAGACACTCATAACATTCAGTCTGGTCATTGGCTAATCACTGAGCCAACTGGACAGAAACTTCAGTGACCACATATGAAAAAGAATGTGGACTTCACATAATGAATTAAGAAAGTCACCAAACAACACCAAGACAAACACCAGCAACACATTCAGGAAGGGGAAAAGCTGATCATAGAGTTACCACATTTTCTTATTTAAAATGTGTAAGTTTCAACAAAAAATTATGAAAAATGACAAAAAACTATGATTCTTACTCAGGAGGGAAAAAAAGCAGTCAAGAGAAACTGTCCATGGGGAAACCCAGGTCCTGAACATAGCAGACAGAGGCACTGAATTAGCTACATTAAATATGCACAAAGAACCAAAGGAAATCAGATTAAAGAACTAATCTAAAGTATGCGAATAATGTACATATCAGTCCCACAATAAAAACACAAGGGCTGGGGTACAGCTCAGTGGCAGAAGGCCTGCCTAGCATGCATGAGGCCCGGGGTTCCATCCCCTGCACTGCAAGAAACAAAAAGAAGAGAGACAGAAATTATTAAAAAAAAAAAAAAAACCCAAAAAAACAAAAAAACAAAGCCAGCTTGCTTTGGCAGACATTCCTCACTTAATGACCAAGTTAACATCCTAGGACTGGGTCATTAAATGAGTTGGGTCGCTAAACGAGGAACTATATATAGTGTGTACATTACAATATTCAGAACAAAGCTATGGTCAAATGAAACTCCAACTTGACAACTGTATTCATTTTACTTTATTTATTTATTTTTGTTTGGTCAAGCAAGCAAGAATTTTATTTGCTGGTGGCAAAAGGCCACAACACTTTAGTACTTAAACCTGCAGTTAATAGTGATATTTACACATGGTAAACCAAGGGCAGCTAAAAAGAATCTGAACAGAAAAGTAGGAGACCAGGACAAAGGCACTGGGAGCTCAACCACTGCAGGCTGTGATGTACCCCAAATTTCAGCAAGGTCAGATGAGCCAAAATTACTGCTTTCTTTACTGACCTTGAATAACCAGTATGTTTTTCCTCTGAAAGTCTTAATGATTGATTTGGTTGTATCCAGTGTAATACAGTAGTCAGCCCTTATATCAAATCACATTTTCTTGTAAGACATGCTTCACACAATACATTCAGAATCAGTTTTCTTTTTCTTCACTCTTGTCTTTTTTTCCCTGAACAAGCAGGTGAGGAAGTCTCTGGCATTTCCTTTACACTGGATACAGGCTGTTTAAAGACTATTTCATCATTTATTTCAGCCATTTCAGATTTTTGTTTCTCAAAAAATGTTGCTATACAAACTGGTGTGGCACTCTGGCTATCCCCGGTCTTATTGGGAGTGAGAGGAGAGCCGTTTGAAATAATCTTCCTCCTCCTCCTCCTCCTCCTCCTCCTCCTCTTCCTCCTCCTCCAGTATGCCTGGAGCCTTTTTCTTTTTTGCGGAAATCTTTTTTGTCTGAAACCTCTTTTTTCTTAGTAGATAAAACCATAGAAGGAAAATTATAATCAATTCCTTTTGCAATTAATTTCTTCCACAGTAATTTTTCTTTCTTTTTAAATCGATCTTCCACGCACAACTTTTGTAGAAGTGTCCGCTTATTATTATACCATTTCATTGCTGGGTATACTGGATGATGAAATGGAACTCACCAGCCTTTAAAAAGATCTTCATATACCTCTTCTGGTGGCATAAAACGATAAACCAGGAGTCTTTCACTGAAAGGTAGCTGTGGCATTGTCTGAGCCACTATCTTGGCAACATCCTTAGATACAAACTCCACAAAGGGGTAGCTTCTGCTATTTCCAGTTCTTTCACTTCTGGACAGTCTGAATCTTCTAATATTGCCAAATTGGGAGAAATATGCTTTGATCTGTGATTCAAAAAGTACTGGAGGTAGGTGACCCACAAAGATTACTCCAGGCATAAGTTCTTGCCTTTTTTGCTGGGTCATGTGATGCTGAACCTGCGCCACCTCTTTCTGAAACACAGCCATCTTCCCAAAAGTTCAGAGACAGAAATGGCATGGCAGGTTTAGAAAACACTGCCATGCTGAGAGTGTCCTGGCACCCCAGCTCCACCATGGGTTTTTTTGTTGTTGTTTTGAGGTAGGGTCTCCCTTTGTAGTTCAGGCTGGCCCTGAACTCACTATGTAGCCCAGGCTGGCCTCAAATTTGCAGCAATCCTCC